CCCCGGGCATGTGCCCTTAGCCAAAATTGAACCTGGGACCCTTTAGTCCGCAGGCTGATGCTCTATCCACTGAGCCAAACTGGCTACAGTGGTTGGCAAACTGTGGCTCGTGAGCCACATGCGGCTCTTTGGCCCCTTGAGTGTGGCTCTTCCTAAGACTTAGGAGTACCCTAATTAAGTTAATAACAATGTACCTACCTATATAGTTTAAGTTTAAAAAGTTTGGCTCTCAAAAGAAATTTCAATCGTACTGTGATATTTGGCTCTGTTGACTAATGAGTTTGCCGACCACTGGGTTAGGGTGAACATTAATGTTTTGATTTCACAGATTTACTAACAAGGAATACTAAAATTATGGTAGAAGCTGTGATTCATCATAAGTTACTTATTTCTCTTGAATACTTTCAATTAACTTTTTAATTGATTCTGTGTTATATTCTATATTATAGGTTATTTTTGCTTTGGGTGGAATATTTAATGCTTTTTGGCTGATGGAATTTGGAAGGTTTGTGTTTGGGTAAGTTATGCATAATTTCATTTGTCCTAATATATTGTTTTTAGTGTTCAGCTATCAGTTTATTAAGAATTTAAAAAATATATTATTGTCTCTTATGGAGAATTACTTCAAGTCCTTGAAATGTAGCCACACATACACAAGACTGTTTATTGGTTGTCTTAGTTTTCCTTTAAAGTAAGTAACAATTTTGAGTGACCATAGTTAATTTAACTCTGTGTGGGTTTGAATATTAGATAGTCCTCTAGAAATGATGTTTTTCCTAGGTGTTTTGCTGTTCTGATATATTGAAGACTATGATTTAAAGCTCATTTGTAGATGATAGTGTAGACCATCAGTTTCTAAGTTGGTGATTCACGGACAGTTTGCTGTTTTCTTAGTGGCTAAGCGCAGGTCCTTTCGAACCTGTTGAAAAGGCTTGAATGAACAAAATACCAATAGCCTTCATGAATTTCAGTGTTGTTCAGTAAGCCCATTCTGAGTCCAGCCTTGGGCTTCCTAACCCAGATGAAATAACTTACTTAGTTTTTAACTTAAAAGCACAATTCATTCAATATTTTCATTTGTACCAAGGACCTATAGGCACGTGACATACTTCAAAAACTGTTCTAAGGGAGAGAAAAGGAAACAAAATGTATATAAAAATAAAGGATTCATATGGAACTGTGGTCAGAAGTGGCTTCATGGACCAAGTGGGCCTTGATACCAGTGTAGGGTTTGGATAAGCAGAAGAGAGGGGGACTGTTTTTGAAGTAGGACAGAGAGGTGAAGAAGGCTCAGAGTTAGGATATGGAAGAGAAGCTGAAGGCCTGGGTGTGGGCTGGTCAATGTGTAGAACTTACAGAAAGAAAGTAGGAGAACGTTGCATATGGAAAGTATGCACCTGAAAAGTGAATTTTTGTGTTTTCACAAGGCATGGCTCACT